GTCCTAGCATCTCTGTAAGTCCCACACCACATCTGAGGCATCGTGGATAAGGTGGTTTCTGTCCTGCCACCCACCCATTTTACCAAGCAGAATGACGTGTGCCCTTCTCCAGTCCTTGAGGTCCATGTCCCTCCACATCGGTCGGCAAAGATGAATTATTCTGGGATGAGGCTGTGCTGTTTTGGCTGCTTCTTAATGCACCTGAGGGTGACTTTGAGCAGGCCCTGTTGACTTGAATAAATCTATCTCATTCTTTCATCTCTTCTTCTGCTTCCTGGTCCCTCCTTTTTTTTTTTTTTTTTTTTTTTTTTTAATGTAGAAGTATCCAGTCACAGTTTATGCATTGCATGCTATTTATGCAGTTCAGCCCATGAAAAATACATGAAGAGTCCCTTGCTCTTTCTCCCCACAGCTTCATAAATCTTGCATTGCTTTCTGCATGGCAGCTCAGCTTCATGGGGTGATGGGGAGCAGCCTCCCCGCTGCTCCTGCCCTGGGGCCACAGCACCCTCTGGGGATTCTGGCATTACAGGCTTGAACCCTTCCAGGTTGGCAGAGGAGAGGTTCAGAGCCCCCTCAGCCCCATTTTTGTATTACTGGATAGGAAAATAAGTCCAAGTTAGTGTTTAGCTGCCCTAAATGTCTCCAGCACAGCCATCATCTTGCCTTGCAGTTGGTTTCAGTTTTACTGAAAACAAGAGCAATGCAGAGAGTATTACCCTGAGCACAGCCCGTTAAGCATTCACAAGGGCTGGTGTTTGCAACTCGAGATGCAGCTGCACATTTATTCAGGGACCAGGCAGAGGCTGTGCAGAAGAACCACCCAAAAAACAAGTCAGCCATGTGCTTAAGGACCTGTTTTGAAGGTAAAGCACTTTCTGTCCAGGTAAATTTACTAGCTGGTGCTGACAAAGTGCAAGTGCCTTTTCTCTGAGCTCAGCAAAGGAAAATGATAGGCAAACACTAATTGAGATTTGTTTAAGAACTGCTCCCAAGGCAATCTGAGCACAAAGGCTCATGGAAATTGCCTAATTCCTTAGTTCTCACTTAAGATGGAACACTGTGGAAGGAGTTTGCAGACGGCTCTGATTTTTAATGGAAGTTTCATCATGTTTGTATTTTCCCCTTAGCAGGCTCTCAGCCTCCACGAAGCTATCAAGGATGCTGTCAATATGGGCAGATTAACAGCTCTTCCCTCTGTCCTCAGAGCCCCTCTGATTCCTTACAGCGTCTGCCACCATCATGGTCCTGCAGGGGACAACCTCAGGCTGAACAAGGAAACACTGAGTGGGGACTGGCACGTCAATCCAGAGGGATTCTATCCCAGCTGCTGACAACCCCAATTCACTAACCCAACTGACCTTGTGCTCCCTTTAATACAATAAGGCAGCATTCCCCTGCTGTCCCAGCCTATCATGCCTTTCTCCTGGCCATGGTGTGAGTGTACCACTACCCATCATCTGCCACAGCTCCCTGTCATGTCAGGAGAAACAGTACCCATTTCTGCACCTCTTCCCTTTGCCCTCTAGCAGTGGACAAGGAGATGGTGGCTGCCCATCACCATCTCCATTAAGACCTTTCCCAGGTCTGTCTTTTCCCCCTTGGCCCTTGGCCTTTCCCACCTATGGCTTCTCTCACCTCTTTAGGGCTGGCCCATGTCCCTCTGTGGCATGTAGTTGTCCCCAAATCCATGGAGCAGGGGATGTGGTGGTGGGTGCTCCACACTGGTTGTAGGTTTGCTGGGGTCCCTCCCCAAAAAATTCAGAAAAAATCACATCTTGGGAGGAAAAAAAAGAAAATCACAAAAAAAATGGTATTTCTGAGGGATATGTGGTGAGGGACCAATCTGGGGCTTAGCTGGTTTGGCAGGCCCTTTGCCCCAGAAACTAGACTAAAAAAGCATTATTTTCCCCCCAAAACAGAGATAAGTGGGAACAGCCTGTAACGAGGCCAGATGCATTCATGTGGGTCTATGTGTCTTACTCATCCCAAAGGCCTCTCCTTCCCTCAGAGACCACAAGAGTAGCACCACATCTGCATTTAGGAGAGGAAAAAATTACAGAGAATATATTTTCCTTCCAAGGGGGTAAATCCTGATGCTTTGTGGAAAGCTGAGGGGTCAAGTGTAGGTGTGATCCACAACTGGATGTTGCTGTTAGTCAAAGGTTTTTATTTTTATGAAAAAATAGAAAACTTTGTATCTTACACTACAGAAAAACCCATGTACACAAACAAAATGCACAGAGAGCATCTGAAGAGGGGGAAGGGGAGGCATAAATACAGCAATGCTACAGTCTCCTATGAGTTAAAACGCTGATGCCAAGGAGCTGAGACAGATGCTGCAGCTCTGACAGTGCTGGATGCACCAGCTCCTGCTCTACCTGCTCTAAGGAATTACAATAAAAGTTTGGTAACTAAGTGTTAACCTTAAGACTGCTACTGATGTATTCTACATCTGCCTTAACATCTAATTTCAAGTCCACAGCAGTCCAAGGAGTTACAATTTCTTGAGCACTGGGACTTTCTACAATATGTTCAACACTGTATAGACAGAAAAAAAAATCTTAATTTTTTATCCTTCTCACTATTAACATATAGGAGGAATAAATAAAATTTTCAACTTATTTTTCCCCCTTTTATATCAGTCTTCCTTTTTAATACTCAAGTAGTTTTTCCAAGTGGTAGCTACACAATGCAAGGGTGTCAGTCTACACAAGTCATTCCTGGGGACACTTCCTTCTCCCAAAATGAAAAACTGTATCAAAAAAAGCCTTTCCACCTTTTGGATCCTTTGAAATACCTCCAAGTTATGACCAAAATACACTGGAAAATCACAATCTGCTGGCTCAGCTGCAGCAGTAGCGAGCTGGAAAAGCAAAGTGCTTGGACTTACCATGGGCAGGAAATTCACCTACAGCCCTTTCCAAGAACATAACCTGCCAAAAAAGTTGCTGTCCTCTTGTTCTGCCACACTCGAACATATATAATCATGCCCAACACACGAAGTACTTGCAGTTCTTGGATGGGAACTGAAAACCTCCTTTGTCTCTGGAATTTCCTCATGGACATAGAAGCTGTAACCTTTGGACCCTACACATTAAAACAATGTTTAAATGTTAGCCCTGAGACAAAGCCTATTAATACAGAGATCTGTAGCAAGAACAGCTCTTGAAATAGATAGAAAAGGTTATTTATTTATTTATTGGAGGAAGCGAGAAGAGGTGCCCTATTTACAAATGCAGTCTGGCTTAAGAACAGTTTTGTTTTCCACTGGTTTATAATTTTGAAGGTTACTCCAGCATCTGGTAGGTATCCCAGCAATACAAATGATGAAAAGGGGATTTTGCTTTTAAGAGCCCAGGAAAAAAAAAAAGACTGAGTTCAACTCCTCCCACAGAGCCAAGAGGAAAGGAATGAGTGGAGATGATGGGCAGAGAGTGCTACATATTTGCTAATAGCATCTCAGTGCAGCCAATGGGTGCAGGCAAAAGAACGATTCCTCCCGGTGAAATGAGTTGTTCCTGTCTTCCTACATGTTATTTTCCCAAGCATTGGAGACAGGGAGGCACAAATAATCTGAAGACTGTTCTGCTGACAGCTCTAATAATCTTATTTATTATTTGACAAATCTCTTTTCCGTGCAGAAATTGTTATGTCTTGATGCCCTCTTCCTCTTTTGTGGTCCGGTGGCTGCCAGAATGAAACAACACGATGAGAAATGACACTATCAAGATTTGTTAGACCTCGCTGTGGCTCCTTTCCCTCCTTTTTCTCCTGATTCCTGAGGAACTCAGCAGTCACCTGCAGAGAAGGAGGGGGCCATTTCAGAACAGGCAAATATTGCCTGAAGAAGCCTTGCTGTAAGAAAACAAAGCCCTCCTGCTATGAAAAGAAACACTCCGTCTCTTCTCCTAGATGCCCTCTTTCTGTAAAAAAAAATAATTCTGTGGATCAAATCTCATCCAAAGGTTGGGGGGAAATGGAAGAAAGACTTTGAAACAGCTCCAGGTGCCTTGCAAAACCTGTTTCTGCAAGACATGAAGGACACAGGCCTCCTCTTGGCTCTTTGAGCTCTTTGGGCTCGGCTCTGCAGCACTGGGGATGAAGGGAGCTACAACAACTTCATATATTGATGTTATTGCTAAGGAAGGATGCCACAGGAAGCAGATAACTCTAAGAAAGCAATACATTTACAGAAACAACAAACCCTTGCAATCCACTGAGCTGTTTTAAAATCCTTGTCTAAGTCTTCACAAAATAAAAGCCCAACATATGAATACCAAATTAACTGTTAATCCTAGGTACAATAAAAATTAACTGTTTAATCCTAGGTACAATAAAAAGAGGAGGACAACCCCAAAATATTTATTGGTGTGATTCTCAGAGGACTGGGTTGCCCTCAGGTCCCTCTGAAAATACCAGCCATGGGCTTTAATGGATACAGTGAACCCCAGCTACAACCAAGTCCTGATCTGAGCTGCACTAGCCCCCGACCAATGGCACCTCCTTGCCCATGGGATGCTATTGCTGTGACCATGTTGGGCTACTCTGCTCTTCCCTCCCCTCTGTGCTCTGTCACAAAGTGGCCAGGTCCACAGCAAACCTAGAATGCCAAGGGACAGCCTGTGACAGTACAGTTCCAAAAATAATCCCACTCCCGCCACTGTGGGATAAATACTACAAAATCTCCACACTGGATGGCCACAGGCTCATTTCCACACTGTGCCCCAGGACTTAACCCACAGCATCAGAAAAGGAACAACAGAATCCCTTCCTTCCAGCTAAAACCACCTCATGCTTTCTCTCCTGGGCTCTGGGAACAGAAGCAATGGCTGCACTGGGTGATGGCTACTGGGGCTAAAGCTCCTGTGCAGAGGCAATCCCATATGCTATCTTTGGCCAGGACACAGAAAAATCGATGCCACGTTGTTGCTGGAGGCCATCAAGAACCAGATGTTTTACTTCTCTTCTGGATGTCCTCAACACATGGTGTAAAGGAAGAGGAGGGCAACATCTTTATTTAAGCAAACTCCTTCTATCTCATATACATAATCAAAACTCCTGAAGGCTTTATGTGTCGATCAAACCAAACTGCAGCAAAAATACAAAGCATAGGGGTAACACAAAAAGGAGGCTGAGTAAAAGATGGAGGAAAGAAGGAACAAACCAAGGAATGAGCCCCAATCTTGTACCTGATGCGTAGCAAACTGTACAGTATATACATCTTCATCACATATTATCCTCCCCAAAGAGCAAATAAAAAGAACTTGGTAACACAGAAGGAGGAAAACAAAATATACACCCTGTATTGTATTTGCCATGGAGCAAGCGACATGTTTATATGCTAGTCTCTATAACTTAATGCTGTGTAACAGCATTGTTTTTTCTTTTCTTTAAATTTACAAAACAAAATATCTATCGAGAAATAATCTAATCATATTGCTCTTCAATACACTTCTGTAGACAAGTAAGACTCCAAGTTATACTTCAGCAGACTGCAGCTATTGGGAGTCCATGAATGGCCACAAAAATCCTCCATTCAAGTCAGTCCTTGGAAGCATTACCATGTGTTGCTGTAATTCAATATATAAAGGTGCTATATATATATATGTACCTCCCATGAACAGAAAACACGTGGTGGAAGGCTTGTCATCACCGCTGAAGCTTAAGAGACTGGTTAACCTCATGTACAGCAGATTCGTTTCCACGTTCCATGCATCTTACATTGACTTCATGAAAATGAGGACACAAATAGGAAGAAAAGCAAAACTTTAGTCAAACACTGCTTTAGAAATGCTGCAGCAGAGGCCAATGTCCTTCAGTTATAGAAAGCACCGAATTTCCCTTTTTATCTTTTCTTGTTTGTTTTTTTTAGTCAAAATAAATCTCAGGGCTAGAGTACAAAGTGCAGGACCGACCCACTTGAGGAAGCAACTTTAAAAACCGTGTTACAACGGCACCATCCCATTCACCAACTGGACCTTCATCTCTTGAAGGCTGTTCATTATCTTCTTCTGGTGACCAACAAGTGTCACTCCCAGACGTCTCAAATCCCTGTGGGAGAAAGCAGACGTTGGTTCCATGGACCTCTTAGGCACATGTCGCCGCGCACACCACGCGCCGCATGCGCTGCTGCTGCCAGTGCCTACCTGTTATCACTGGCAGCTCCCAGAACCAAGTTTAGTTGGCAGGTTTTATTTTCCCCATTTGTAATATTTTTCTCTTTTTTTTTATGGCTGACAGCATCTCAGAGAGGTGATGTGATTTGAATGAAATCACCTCGCTGGCCAAGGAGAAAAGCCAGACAGCAAAGTGTCAGCATCATCTTTGGCCAAGGATTCTGCTAGGCGTGAAAAGTCCTATTTCCAAGAGAAAAGTCATGTAAGAAAGCCCATGTTGCTGCTTCCTCTTCTCATGGGAGAGGCTGGTATTTGATCTTGGATATGAGCAGTGAGGAGTGAGGTCAATCCGTGCTTTCTTCCTCTTCAGATAAGGGAAAGCCAAAGAAACACAGATGGCAAAAGACTCGAGCATGGCCACCATCCTGATGACTCCTTAAAGTCAACAAGAATTAGCAAAGCAGTTCCCCTTTGGGTCTTTGCAAATCTTCCCATAAGCCCACATTTGGTTTTGCTCTGGGGAGGTGAATTCTAGAAGCCAAGGGCATTTGTATTGATTCTGCCTACTGGGCTACCATTACAGGAAAGCTGTAAAATAAGACAGTTAATGAAAAATGCAGGATCAAGAGGAAAGATTGTTTGTCATCAGCTCCACCCCCAAAATTCAGGTGTATAGATGAAGGTAATCACTTTCATGTGATTCACGTGAATGGCATAGGAGAGGCACCTCCAGGGTACAATTTATCCCATCCAAAGACAGGAGTGGGACAAATCATCTCCTGAAAATACCACAGCAGGACCTTGGGCTATCACATTCAATGACCCCTCTAAAGCCAGACAAGGCCATCAGTTATGGCAGAGTGTAATTGCAGAGATTTCCTACTGTGTGGAAAAGTGTTAACAAAGAAATTGTAGGAACGAAAGCTCAGCAGAAACATCAAGACAGTTGCATATATATTTCCAGCACAAGACACAGAAGCTGTTAGAGAAGCAGGTTGATTATAAGAGATGTCGTGTTTTGTCTGAAGACTTCCACTAAAATAATATTAGTCCCTCACTTTCTACCTCCAGACTGGAGTGAATTAAGGATGTTTCTAAGTTGTACCTTATGGTCCTGCCGATACACTTGTGAATCCCCAAGCTGTTGACACCCTGTGTGCAAGTCCTTTAGGAGAAAGTTCTCCACCAAAAGCCACTGAGATGTGACCTTGAACAAGCAGCTGCTTTTTGGAAACCATGCTGCCGCATTTGTGCAAAGGCTGGGAATCCCCAGCGACACCTGTGAGCCCAACCATCACCTGAGACATAACTGCAAACCTACAGTTCACAGCAGGGCTGTGTGCTGGACTGCAGGCTAGCACCTGCAAGGAACACCAAAACATTTTCACACCAGCTACCCATGGAGGTGTGCCCCTCTCAGCAGCTGGACAGAAATGCCTGTGCAAGTACAACCAACCACCCATGTCCACAGATTACACAGATGAACGCTGCTTTGAATAAAAAGCAGTCTTGAGTGAAGGCTAATACATTAACACATAAACTAGTTGAAGCCAAAAGCTACATCTGTACTTCTCCAAGGACTGTCATGTTTTCTGCCTTTTGATTTGGAAAATATCAGGTTTTGTGCTTCGGGCAAAACACATAATTTCATTACTGTACCCTTTTTCAGCAACGCTTCTTGATGATGCAAAGGGAAATCATAACATAAGAGGCACAGAGCAAAGGAGGTCAATAAGACACATCGGCAGTGCTCCTTACCTGGCAGAGAAAAGGTTGCAGCACCTGCAAAAGGTGTCTGCCTTCTCAGGGGGACATGCTTTCATTTCTGCCTCCACTGAATTGTGAAACTAGTTCAGCAAGCCATCTTAATAATGAAGGAAAATGAAGTAATGCTATTGTTACATGCAATTTATTTTATGTACACAGCACAGTAGGAAGTTCACACCAGAGATCAAAAAAAACCAAAACAAAACAAAACCAAAACAAACCAACCCCCAAAACCAACACAGTATAGGACCTGATTTTTAGAAGAGACAACATCCATCTTCCCCTTGCTGAGTCCTGCTCTGCTGGCACTTTTTGAAAAATCAGCTTTTTTTTCCCAGGTATCTAAAGTGCAAGCTGAGCTCTTTAGAAAATCCAGTACCACATATTTCACAGATGTATAATTTCTGACACTCTCGCATGTTATGCCGGAAAAAAACAGCCTGAAACTCTGAGAAAAGCATGCATTTCTTGGCCTTTCACACAGCCCCATCAGTCCAATAAGCCCCCCACCCAGTTCACTACACAGCCTTTTTTTCCCCCCATACAGTATCCCCTTAATATCCTTGAGGAGTGTCTCGTTGATTTACAAGAGAGAAAGAAGAAAAAAGAGTTTCTGTTTTCAATACATTAACTGCTCACCAGGGGATCCAGTCCAGTTTTTTATTTTTTTGGAATATCAAATTCTCTCAAATGTGAAGCCACCAGCCAAAAGCATGGGGGACCCCTCAGAGAGGGGAAAAACACTACAGTGGGGTCTTTCACCTCAGCAAAGATTAACCAGAAGACAGCTCCTGAACCAGATGCTCGTCAAGTATAAAAATCAGCAGCTTTATTCAAAAGCCACCCTGCACAAAGCAAGGACAACAACAAAACATTCTAAAAACTGCCTAGAGAATGTAGGAGCTTTAATGCTCAAGATGCTTCAAGCGTGACTTACAGCACGTTACGTGCTCCCATGCATCCAGTGCTGAAGGACTTAAAGCGGTGTAAGGCAGAAGACAATTTTGAACAGAATTGGGTGCACAAACCAGCTGGTTTGGGGACAAAAAAAAACCTAACAACTTCTGTGCCAAAGGGCTGCAGAAACAATAGCCTTTAAGCTCCAGTCTGGAGTTGCCTGGTTCATGTTACTGCAGCCAAGTGGAAATTTCACTGGGCTCAGCTCTGCAGAGGAGATATGTGCAGACATCCACTGAGGCTTTACAATAAAAATGCACTTTCCCTGCAGGAAAAGGCAGAACCGAGACCCGTGGGCAAACAACACCTGCGATCAGGATCCAGGCTGCTGCTTGCTGTGGAAGTGACCTGACCCCTGGTGTTGGGTTTTGTGCGTGCCTCTGCAGTGGAGATCCGTGCACCCATGTGCTGGGTGGTCTCCCTGCTCCAAAACACTCGGCCTCCCCAGCCAGGAGACAACTTTTATTCTCATTTCAGGGAGGAAAGTTAATCTTTTCACTTCTTCCATTCATGTAGGGCTGGAAATGAAAGCAGGCAGGAATTTGAATCACTTGTCAGCAAGGTATTAAAAGGCTTACCTAAGATGACCAAAAAGCCAAGGAAATAAAGGGGAAAACTGGTGTCAGCTCATCCCAAGCAGCCTGTACACAGCTGCATGCGAGCTGCTCTCTTACCACTGCCTTGCACCGAAGCCCAGCTGCAACATGCCAGTGACAACACAGTGTGCCCTTCCCTGCAACAGCCTCCATTTGCAAGGGTTGAATTCACAGTCTCCATGTTGTAAGAAATAGATTTAAAACATTTTATTTACAGATAGAACTACTTATACACCATGGACCAGTTTGCCAAACACAGTGTAGACTAGGACTGGATTGCCACATAAAATACAACCCCCTCACCAGCCGGTTTAGTCATGCAAGCAAAAGGGCCACAGTCCTGAAAGATCTCCGTGGTCAGCAGCCGTCAGCCTACCACAGATATTTTGTATTCCATCTCCCATCCAGGGCAGGTCTCACCACTCTTCTGCACGTGGTGTAACTACAGTTGCCCATGCAGGCTGGGACTACTCATGGAGTTAGTTAGTTGTCAGTTTGAATGAGGGGAAACAAGAAGAACCTCAAAGACCTTCAGACGATGCTAAAGAGAGAGGAATCTGCTTGCTAGGGACATTTGCATGAAATGAGGACTTAAAAAAATTTTGTTTTAAGAGTTCATCTGCTCTTACTCGTAATTCCATTCTACTTGATTACAAGATGAGAATTTGTTCAGAAGCAGACACATCACAATCCCAGGACTGAGATTTCAGGTTAAGAATAAGAATCTAGAGCAGGTGAACTCTTAAATGTTCTTCATCCAGTATAACTTTTAATAAATAATTTATTTTATTTTAGAAGAAAAATATATACAATGCAAAGCAACACAACACATATTATTACAAATATTCAGAGCTCTTCATCTAATAACAAACAACAGGGTGTCCTGAGATTCAGTGAGTACAGATCTTTCAAAAGGTGAAAATATGTAGTCCACATGGTTAGTAATTGGTCCAGTCAAGGGTCAGACTGAACCTCATGTCATGGATCTATCTATTCTTGAGTATTGTCCTGGTAAAGTTATTCTTGCAGTGGATTGAAAGAGCTCCAGACACACTCAAAGTCACTAGGTGGTCCACAAGTTTAAAGAGCAGGTCTGGTCCACTGGAAAGGTTCCCTTCAAGTCTGATATCCAGTTGGAAAGAGAGGGTGGAGGGTGAGGCTCCACTTTTCACAAGGTGATTCATCCCTTTGCAAGAATTAGAGCTAAATGTAGAAATCACTCTTTGTTTGAACACATACATTTTCAGGTCTTTGCTTAAGTAGGCAGAGCTTAGGACTTGGGGTGATATTCATCGATCTTAGATTTTTAATCTTTTGCTTTCAGAAATTTGTCACTAATTTGAAATTTCATAAATTTCAGGAATTGTAACTAATCTCTTTTCTGGGATAAATGCATCAAGCTATCAGTTTGAAAGAATCAGAATGGTAAACAGGATTTTGCTTTTCATGCCAGGGGAGGGAGGTTTTAAAATAAAAATGCTGAACATCAACTATCTCAACCAGGTCCTGTAAAGAAGCCACAAGCTGGGCACCCACAATTACCAGTCCTATCAGTGTTATGGCCAACTCCTCCTACAGCACTAGCAGGTTTTTTTTTTCAGTAGATTTTAGAAATTCTTTACATTTATCATATGGATTTTTTTCCTGCTTTTTCTGGCAGCAGTTATCCACCTAATTTCTACATCTGTCTCCTCCATGGTTTAATTTAGTAAAGATAATTTTGGGTGGTATTTGAAGGCAACCTCTTAAATTGTAAAGACTGTTTTACTGATGTCATTTGGGGAAAGCAAGCTACTTTCATATGTTCAGATCATCTTTTCACCCGATCCCCCCAAGTCCCAGCTCTGGAATATATAGAACAGTTGCCTCTATTAAAAATGACAAGGAACATTTAACCTGAATTCTCCTTTGTAGAGTACAAAATGTTTTCTTCCTCCCTTTTACAGGGAGAAAAAAAATTATAACCTCCAGAAAAGCAACCCCTATATCAGCCTTTAAGGAACTTTGCTTGTTCTGGTGTTTATTTTCTGGAGAACCCATGAGAGTCTCAGCTGAGCCCACCAGAAGCCATTTTTCTCCCTTACTTTATTTTTTAAGGGCACTCTGCCAGTTTACATCAGCCTGAGTTCAGGACTTCAATACATGACACTTTTCCTCTTAAGCTGTTATGAAGGTTTCTCTTTTTTCAACAGCTGAGAATCTGCTGGTTTTTCTTTTTTTACTGTTTCTAAGATGAATGAGAAAAGTTTTGATTTGGATGGGTACTTGGCCTTTTGATTAATTTTCAACAGGTTTTTCAAAAATAGACCTCAGTGGGGTCAAGCCTTCTTGCCAAGCCACCTCTGCAAAGCAAAGGTGTAGGGGCTGACAGAGAAGAACCAAGCAGGCATCTCTGCAAGAATCTCTGTCCACAGGCAGCTGGGGTGAGGAGGGGGAATTTATTTGCTGACATGGATAACTAGCTGGAATAGGTTTCAACATTTTTTTCAGCTTCAACTGAAATGGAAGATGGACCCATGAAATGCCTCCTTCCAGTTTAAAAAAGCAAACCCAAAAGCTCCCCCAGGCTGCCAGGCATCAGCTCCTTTGCACTGCTCTGCTGTTCTAAAAGCCCAGAAGACAGCTGAAGCTGGGAAGCTCAGACATGTTGTCTCCACTGGGACCAGCAGGATGACATTTGTGCCACAGAGGACATCCTGGGACCTGGTATGGGGGCCTTTGAGGAGGTTGGCAGCTGGGGAGAGTCAGAGCATCTCTGGCAGCTATAATCTTATTTAAAGACTTTCAAACCAACTTGCCTTTCTGGCTAGAACTGTGCAGGTAATGGGTTTCTTGGTTCATTGCCAAGGAGAAAAAACATTTTAAAGCACTTTTTGCATCACCTGAAAAGGTTTTGCGGGACATTTTTGAAATTTCTGGAATACCAAAGAGTAAACATAGGGAAAAAATTAAATTTTAAAGTCAAATTAAGGATCTTACTTCATAATCTGAAATGCTGTGCTTTAGGAGTTTGGAGGTTGGGAATGCTTTTGTCAGCAGCATGAGATGCTAAGACGGTGTAGGAGGGATAGTAAGATTGTGTAAAGTTACACAAATAAGTAAACTATCTAATTTGCTGTTGAAAACACCCACTAATTTGGTTTTCAAGTCAACATGTTCTGTGACCCAAACAAAAGCATTTTACTTCTGAGCATTTTGTGTAGAGCTCTTGAAACCGCAGAAAATTCTAAAGAGGAACAAGCTAGAAGCCTAATTTTCTTCTTTGTTATGACTAATTAAGCCAAACAGCAATAAATCTGTGATGGATTTTAGACAAACCTGCATTTTCTACCAGAAGTTGCTCTGGTTATCAGATTGGGGCAGTACTGTGGAGGGGAATGCTCCAATGTTTTCCTTTTCTCATAAATTACTGCTTCATCCTATTCTCCTTCTTCCCACTCAGCCTCTGGCTGGCTATTCCTGCTGTGTGGACTCTGACAGCCTGGGGATGGGTGCCCTCTTCCTTGGTCAGTGTTTGTAGATTATCAGTCTAAATTGTGGAGTCCTCAAAAGCCCAAGTAACATGACACATAACTGCAGGACAAGGCTGGGAAACAACCTGTAAGGGTCTCAGGAGCTCAAAGGAGGATGATCTAGGTAAGAATCCATGCACCCTGATTTCCCAGACAGTTGCTGGAGAGGACTTCATCCCTAGCTCAGGATTTTCACGTGAATGGTTGAAAAGACACTGGATGAGTCCAGGTGTAAGGGGCAAACATTGATGGTGTGAGTGGAGCAAATAAAATCAGAGTGAGAGCAGATATGCTCCTACACTCCCCTCCACCTATGTAATGGAAAACTGAACTCCATGGAGATGTCGCCGACCTGCATCACACCCCTGTGCTGTACGGTGAGCTCCACAGCAGGCACTTGGCAGACAGGAGCAAATGATGCAGTTCTGTGGAGTGGGGGGATTTTTCTTGGTTTAGTCTTAATCCTCAGAAGCAATTCTGTATGTGCAGTGGCAATCTGCATGTGGTCAGTGGAGACACAACCTTCTCCAAAGCAGCAGAGTACAATTCTTCCCATTCTGCCTTAATGCCTGCAGTGAACTAAGCTCGAATTAACCCAGCTAGAAAGGCAGGCTTTGAGGCGAGCTGGAGACAGCGCAGGCAGCAGCAGGAAAGTACTGAGACAATTACACAAGCAAGGCAGGCAATTAAAGGTGGAGCATAGCAAATTAGCAGCCCTGAGGCATTTACCAAGTCATTTTGTTGCCTCTACTGCAGTCACACCCACGTGCAAAAACCACAGGCACATTCAGAAGAAAGGGTGTCATTCAGGAAGCCTGTCCTTCAGAGCAGCGGGTTGCTGATGCTCTTGCATTGGCATCAGCTCTTATCTATTTCTGTTAATGCTGAATACCATTTCCACACCTTACTGGGCTTCACTGTTCACTTGGTTATATCCAGACCATCCATGAAACCAGCTCATCATCTGCTGTGAAGCCAGGATGTCTCAGCAGGGACTCCAGCACCTATAGGTTTACTAGTAGGGTAGAGGGTTTATTTTGTTGGCAACCCCAAATAATCAACTGCCATTGTGTCAAGAGGGTGGCCTGGCAACTACAGAAACTCATGCATTAATTTCTGTGAGTAAAGGAGACAAAGTTCTGGCTGCCAATGTAGTGACTGTAAATTTTAGTCTTGCCTGCACTTGTCAATAGAGATGCTATAAGGGAAACGGGTGACTGCAAGCACAGGATAACATTTTCCCTTTCTGCAGCCTCATCCTCGCATATTTTTGAATGGTTTGTCTTTCTCCTCCCTCCTCCCGTTGCAATTCTGAGAAATGAGGTGAAAATGATCTGGACACTACTCACTCTAGGGTCACCTGAGCCACTGCATCCATTGAACTGTATCCATTCTCCATGAAGATCTCTGTGTATCGGCCCATTTTGATGGCTTCCAGCCACTCACCCACGGACCTGTAGGCACCACTCCCAACTGGACTGTGCTCTACCAACAGATTTGACACCCTAAAGATAAGCAAAAACAAAGAAGCAAACAGAATCAGCATTGAGACATACACAACAGGACTCAAGTTGCTTGCACTTTTTTTTACGGTAAAGATAATTCTTCCACTTTCAGCGATTGCTGCAGCCCAAATCCTCCTAACAGGCTTGATAAGCAACGTGTCAAACACAGCACTTCACCTGCAACCTTACCCATTCTTGAGTTAGCTCCTGCCATTTCAGGTCCTCTCCACACACAGAAAGAGGAGGAGAGGAGTGGCATCCATCCCAGTTACCCTCGGCTGTCACTGTCGGACACAAAATGATTTACACAGACACCGCTCAATGTGTGATAGAGGAAGAAGAAGCTTTTTTCTGTCGTTTCAGTATTTATAGATTCTCGACAACAAGCAGGGATTGGATAGTTAGGTCACTTTCCTAACCACACTGGTCGTAAGAAACGTCCATCAAAAGACATATCTTTAATGGAATGTATAAACATCTATGTTTGTAATTACTTTCCTGGGAAAGTGTTTAGAAACTATGAAAACAATGCCAGAAAGCTTGATTTTCAGGGTGACACCTGTCCACAAGCAGGCTCCCCCAGTCACTCCTGCTTCAAAGCCTTGGCTTTGATGACTCCTGCTTTGCTCTCTTTCTCCACCTTTAAAGCTCGTAATTAACTTAAGGCGGCGCAGAGGCTGGAAGCTGAAGCCCAGATGCCATTTCCCAGCAGTGGCCATCAGTGGCAGGCAGCTGTTAACAGCCCAGGGAGCATCAGCAGTCCGGGGCTGCTCCTGAAGGTTTGGGATGCCGGCAGCATCCCAGGAGCCTGCAGAGAGCAGCAATGCTCCAGCCACGCTCCAGCCCTGCCAGCAGAGGTACACTCCTGCTCCCACACCCTCGCTCCAGCCCCTGCCACGGCCATCGCTCCCTGCCCAGCTGTGGCACGCAGGGAAGAAGGAATTCAGGCGGATAATAACCATCCACCGCGGCTGGAGCACCCGTACCTGGCAGGGGCAGCACCCACCGCCCCGCTAATGATGTGCGGGGAGAAAATAGGGCTTGTCCAAGGTCAGCCGGGAAAGAAACCAGGTCTGTTCCCTGCTTTGTAAAACGGGGCACACAACTAACACAAGCCCTGCGAAAAGATTATTACCTGCAGGTGAAAAAAAACCCCCGTTTTCTGGGTGAGCCTCTGATGGTGGCTATTACACTTAAAAGACTTTCAACTGGAAGGAGAGCTGGGATATTATATTATTATAGCACTTCAGGAATCTTCATATATTTTATGAGCACATTAGTATTATTTGTTTATTTAATACCGATGCTGAAGGGTCTAATAAAATGTGAACACTCGCAGTACCAAGAACATAATGGCTCCCCATAACATTTTATACACATGAGAAATTCAAAACTCCTAAGTAATCATAATGAGAAGTGGATTTTCATCACTAATGTCAGGAGGTACCTAGTGATATCATAGCACATGCTGTAATGTAGAGTGACTTCCTCCCTTATTTGCATTAATGAGAATTTCCATAAAAAACACATTACATATATAAAAAAAATCCTTTACAGCTGCTCTATATTGAAATTATGATTCATTTGGAATTACTATGGTCTGAGCACAGCAATCTATGAGAATAGAAACACAGCTCCAAAGCCTGACTGTTCAGGTGCTCTATCTATATCAAAAATATCCACACCAGCTCTGAAAAGGAGAGGTTTGGAATTGCATGGACCCATTCATGGAATAAAACATCAGCAAAGTGCTTAGCAGCTCAAGGAAGTGGTTTCCTGCCTATTTTCCTATCTGACATAACAGTTTGGTATAAAAGAGTGCAGGAAACACCACTTAACAGGTCTGGAAAATAACTATTCTGAGTTGAAAATAAAAGAGAACCTCACATATTTTATGCTGTCATAAACCTTTTCCTGCAGGTTTGCTGGCACTGATGTTATATCTAATTGCTAACAAGAATAATTTCTTCTTCAGATGGTAAATGGTACATGTAAAATAGCCCAAGGAACCAGATCTATCTCATATTTAAAAACATTAACAGAATTTTCAGGTTCTTCTCTTTCAGTGCACAAAATGCCAAGCGCAGGGACACCGCAGAGATGTCCAGTTGCAGCAGGGGAGATGTGCCACATGCAGCTGTGCAAGGCTCACTTGGAAGGTGTGGGGACAAATGACTATAAACTCACAGCAGTATACCTGTTTTGGCCCATAGCACCAGTCTAACCTAATCTTGTCTCCCTCCTTCCTGCTTAAAGAAAATGACATATCTTTTTTTGTCCCTCCTCTGAGGATAAACTTTTCTGAAGGGTCTTTTCTACTGTTAATCTGGGGAACTCCACTGCCATCAGTGAAGCAGCAATAATATACATACATATATATATATATAAATAAAACTTCTTTTCCAGCTTGGGAGGGACTGTGTGATTAGCACTGATGGCTCAGATATAAATGTGTGCTTACAGTTAAAATAGAAAAAACCTCTCTCCAAGACTGTTTAGCTCTTTCTCCCTGAGTGCAGCTTTATTTCTTGATTGTGTTCACCTTACTTGTAGCTATTCAGATTTATGTTTAAATAGAAACTGGCTGTTCTATTCACTTAATGGGGTCTTAGCAAAGGGTTTGTGTACAGCACCTTGGGAACCAGATACCTCCTCTTGTAATTACCAAGACTCTCACAACTTATGGTGGCTAGCATGCCTGGGAATAGTTGTGAAAGGATGTATCTGGACATCCACGGGCTTTGCACATCCTAAGAGTCTACCCAAGAGACACTTTTTGTTTGCATTACTAAGATAAAGTCAACAGGCAGGTAATTGGAGCAGTGTTTACCATCTACCTCAAGCACTCAAGTCTTGCCTTCCCTAACCTTGAAGTAGAGCACAGGTAGTCTTGTCACAGACAAAGTATTGCCAAAACTCCTGTTTCTGAAAGACAGGCCACGGTAATTTTTTTTGTGGTGGCAGCACTACATTTAGAGTGAGTGAATTGCTCACTTGGCTGCCAACTGCAATGGAAAAAGTTGATATGAGTCAACTCCCCTGGACATAACAAAGCTGAAGGAACATTCACCCAAGAACACACGCAGGCTAAATAACCAGAGGGAATCCAGCCCTAGGGGTGGGTATTCAGAGAGGGAGCTTGCTCTGAGAAGTGGTTCTGGGCTGAGTCTGTACCTGCTTGATGCATTAACCAACGTCTTCAAGCTGCTCGGGTTACGGATGAGCTTGTCCAACATGCTGACAATTTCGTCAAACTTGGGCCTGCTGTTGCGGTCTTTCTGCCAGCAGTCGAGCATTAGTTGGTAGAGAGCAGCAGGGCAGTCCATGGGACTTGGCAGGCGATAGCCTTCCTCCACGGCTTTAATCACCTACAGGACACAAAACACAAGGCTTTTCTTCCCCTCATCTTTTTCCCAAATGCAAATTGACTTCAACACACGACTCTGGGATCAGCAATATGCTCACAAAAAAATCCTGCCACCTCCCAACTCTGCACACAAGAGGCAAGCTCAGTAAGCCCCTTTATCTTTCATATTTTTTATGGGATGGGTTGAATAACTTTATTTTTAGTCATTGCAAAATGAATCTAGAAAGCCAAGGCACTGCTGCAACCAGGGGGCCAGATTGCCTGGTTGCACTTGTTCAAAGCTCAGTTGTGGTCTCTACATTATATACCAGGAAACTCCTGGAGCCTATGCTAAATCCATGAAAAAGAGCCTACAGGGCTTTCTGGCATCTTCTTGGAGTGCAGTGATTTTGTTTATTCAGATGTTGGCTTCTTTTTAAATGAAAAGGCATGTGCTAGACCACAAATTTGTATTACAGTAATAAAAGTCTGACTGTATTTCAAAAGAGACTTTGAATGCTAATTGATGGATGGATTCAAGGCAGAGGCAGAACAACCATCTCATATATCATTCAATACTGTCTGGGTCTAGTAGTTTCTTAGTGTGGCCACATTTCTGCCAGGAATTTAAAATGTCAGTCCAAGAGTATGTAAATTAAAACCAGGGGAGGTGTTGCACTGATTTCAAATACAAACCATCTATGGTTTTATATCTAAAACAAGTGGTATGCATATGTGTTGCCTGCCCTCTTGAAAGGCAGAAATGAATAAATGAGGGCAGAATTGCAGAAGGCAACTTGTTTTCCCCAGTTTGGGGCAGATTTGTGGCAGGGCTTTAAGCCCAGCAGTTCCCATTTTGAACCACTACAATTTTCAGCAGAATGCGGCTCATGTTTCAAGCCACAAGGTTCTGTGTCTGTGCCAAGGGAGTCATGGCAGCCCATCTTCACACCCTCCCAAGATTCCTTGATGAAAAGGAGCTGGAAGCAGATATTTGCTATGTCCACATGAAAACCACATGTGCTTCACTGTCCACTCCAAAGACTACCTCAAATGCCATTCATTTTAGGCACTGCCTCACAATTTGGAAACATCCTGTGCTGAAGAAGAAGCCTCTGTGGTTAACATGGAAGCTGTCGTCTTGTTATTTAGTTGCTAGATGAGTAGTACAGGATGAGCTGTATCAGGCTAGCACTGCATTTCAGAAGGCTTCAAAATTCAGGACTTCATGGATTGTTTTTAAATTGTCCTCCACCACAGAGCTTTTTGTTAAGCGTAAGAGTCGCAGGAAGGAGCCAGGCTGACTGAGCAGCAGGAGTGGCAACCTCAAACTCTCTGAGGATGTATGCAGCAGAGAAGCAGTTAGGTGAGGCTTGACAGTCTCCTCCAAGGGTAAAAAGCACATCAGAAGATCTGGGCCACAACATGTGCAGTCCCTTCGTGCCCATCTGAGATTTCATCTGTCGGTGGAGCAGCTGCACACCCACCACTCTCCACCTCACCTGCACTTGCAAGGCAATCTCTTCTTATGGCCTGGCTGTTGCTCCCAGCTCCACCCCACTGTGCTATTTATACTCTCTGTTCTTCACACCATGCTTTTCAGCTGGTCCCTGATTCCACATTTGCAGCTGCCCTACAAAGAAAAAGCTTCAGTGTGGCACAGCCATGAGAATGTTATTTGCTGTGTCCACGTCTGTATTTATAACAATAATGGGTCATCCTCCAACTGTAGCAGAAAGAAAATAGTAGCAAGAGAAGGAGCAGACCATCTGGCACCAGATCAGAATATCTGAACTATATCTGCAGTGGGGTTATGTGTGCTGGATATTCCTGGCAGTAACATCACAATCAATAGCGTTAACTCAATTTACAGGATGTCATTCGTCCTGGTGATACAATGTAAATGGTATCAAAATACGGCAAGAAGCTAGGATGCTGAAATACACTCTTGCATCTGAAGGTGCCTTCTAGCAGTAAGAGGAGCAAGACAACTGAAACAACAAAGACCGAGTTACTTGTAGCCACCACAGTGATTAGAAAATAAGAAAATGGGACATTTGCTGCTTCATTCAATGGTGTGTACTGCTTCATAAGACTTGGAAGATTTAGAATTTGCACCTAAGGAGGCATTTTTGTCTCTCTTCCTCTTCTGGACAAACATTATTCAGTTATGGCTTGGGGTGACCGAACTGGATTTTTAGAAGAGGACAATTTGGGATAGTCTATTCCAATAAACCAAAGCAAAACTCAGTGGTGTTTTCACAGATTCACCAGTCTGAACACTAAAAATCAACCACCGTGATTATCTAGCTTATCAACCTATGCAACACAGGCCACAGTATTCCTCTCAATAATTCCTCCATCAAAGCCTTATCTTGTGGTCAAGCCGAAGCATATTTTTAGATGTCCATCCAGAAACCAGCATGACTTTAAAATGTGATTTGTAGCCTTAAAAGATTTCTTGCCCCATCACACTTCACCTCCTTTAAAGCAAGCCATCTCTAACACCATGAGAATAATTTTGCTCATCATCAGCTGTGCTTGAAAATTATGTGCTTTAACTACAAGCCATGCAACAAGAAACTCTTGCGCAACAGAGTCCAAAATTTATGTGACCCCTTTCTCCCCTGCACAAAAGCCAATTCTGTACCTAACACCAGTGACTCTTCTGTCAACACAAGCAGAGGAGGAAGAAGAGGATGCCTTCAGGAGATGAAGGAGGAAGAACTGCATGAGAAATATGCCCCAGCACTGAACTAAGTTCCTATGGCACCACCATCCAAGCACTTATCATCTGCACAAAGGGCAGAGGCAAGTAACACAGAGGTTACACAAGCAAAGCCTAAGCAGGAACTGATGCTCATAAACACCTCACTAGTCCTTTGTTTTCTGCTTTCACTCCAGGTAAGTCTGTGCCCTACAGAACATGGAGGAATTTGGGCTTTTTGGAACAGTTCTGACAAGGGACTCCCCTGGCCACAGAACATTACTTCACTGGCACCAGCCTCAATCTTAGTCTGGCATTTACTGAACAACATCTGTGCTCTGCCAGTGCATCAGCATTACAGATAGTTACAGTGCTCAGTGTGAGCGAAAAAGCTTGGCTCTCAACTGCTGCATCCTCTGCAGAGACTATGGAAGCAACATAGTATTTGATTAAGATAAATCCCTGTGTAGGTACATGCTGCTTTACTGAACTTCCTGCAAATGTGACAGCCTCAGCAATGCAGGAGCAGTGAGGCATTCATGCCAAACAGCTCACTCAGGTTTCTGGCAAGAAGCACGGCGTGACCATCTCAAAGGTACCGCTCCTTTCCACGCCTGGACTCAAAGTGAGATGAGACAGCAGCTCAGCATGACAGGTAGTAACATCCACTGATGGCAAAGGCTTGCTAACAAAACTCAGGAAGAGCAGAATGCTCAGCCAGGGCCCTTGCTGCCAGTGAAATGGCAGAAAAGTCATTGGAATAGGAATGCTGCTCAAAAAAGCAGAAAGGATGAAACACCAAGTATTGTGACCAGAGGAAAACCATCCAGCAGCAGGATTTCCGCAGGTAGCAGGGCTGCCCCACATGCCCAGTGGTGAATCTGACATCATGACTAGCTGGTGTGCTCAGAGACCTTTGCAAATCATAGCTCTCAGAGATGTGAAGAGGAAGGAGGGACCTAGAAAATCTGGCTACCCCAGGCTTAAAATTTTTCAGCTTCAGATAAGGACAGATGTTGATGGTGAGATCAGGGTAGAATGTAACCCTGCAGAAGGATCAAGAGATCCTTACTGAGGCTGGGATTGGAGCTACAGTCATGGGGGGAGAGAATATTCCCAGGTGTCTCATTGTTTGGAGATGCTTCAGAGGGTGGCCTCGAGGTCAGAGACTCAAGGAGGCACTGGAACCCAGGTGCAAGGGGACACAACTCGAAGGGTACTGGACGAATGAATGAGAGCGTGTGCAAGCACAGACTTACAAGATGTTCACAACCAGAGCAAAACTAATTCTCTTGAGATCATCAATGCAAGAACAACCAAGATGCAGCTCTGTGGACTGCTGTCACTAGATCAGATCACCCAGCTTTTCTGCCGGGAAACAAAGCCCTTACCATGACTCTCTTGAGTTTCTGCTTTATGTGGCAGCAGGGGTTTGAACACACAACTGAAATGCTGCCAGTTTATCAGCATCTATCCCCTGGCAGGCCTTTGTCATTAAGCAGAGGAGGGACAGGCTCCAGCTCTAACAGCGTTAGTGAAGCTCCAGCGGTCTGCTGGGGGAAGCAGCCTTGCCTCCGTGCAGACACACTTCCCTCTGTGCACAGCCTGTTCTAGGTTGCTGCAAAAAAAAAAGAGCATCAAACGGGAGGATCATTTCTGTCTGGCATGGGGGAGCAAAGCCATTTTTACAGCAGCTCTCCTCCTCTTGTCCCCATTCTGCCTCTGATTGCAGAATGAATGCTGGGCCCTCAAAGTCCCATCACACAGCAGCTCTGGCACATGCTTACATCTTGGTTTGTCATTTCCCAGTAAGGCCTCTCGCCGTAGGACATCACCTCCCACATCACAATGCCGTAGCTCCAGACGTCGCTGGCAGATGTGAATTTGCGGAAGGCAATCGCTTCAGGGGCTGTCCATCGAATGGGGATCTTCCCTCCCTAAATGGAAAAGAAATGGAGAAAAACCCCAAAAAACAGATTGCAGCGGAGGGCAGAGAACATGCGAAAAAAGCCGAAACAGCTCTTCTCAGAGCACCAAGGGATGTTATTTTCTCTCTGGAAAGAGACATTGAATTTTAAAGTAAATCTGTTTGACAGCATGGGGCCCCTTTCCACATTATCTCAGCCCATAAGCATTTGTAGGCTGCCTACTAATTGGCTGTCCTGAAGGTTTGTTGTTTGAATGCTGGGACATGTATAGGATCAACATCTCAATTATGTTGCACGGGTTGGTAAGGGAATACAGTTCCTCCGTTTCTGAGAGTGAGAGGGGAGGAACAGACAGTTCTGAAGCTGAGGAAGACTTTGATCTAACAAGGCCTTCATGCAAATTGCTGCGGAAGTAATTCCCTTTTCTTTTTTCTTTTTTTTTCTTTTTTTTATTTTAATGCAGTCCTGGTCCTGCAGAGAGATCTGTGTAGCAGGCATAGGAATCTGTGTGTGCAAAGACCAGCCTGCTTGGCCTCTGCTGTGGGACTGAAAATGATGCCACAGCTGTCAAATGTGCTTTGCTGTTTACTCTTCTCCTTTCTATCACTTTAGAAATCAAACTTCAGATCAGCTCTGAGAAGGGAAAGGGGAAGGAAAGGAGAATCAGGATTAAGGAATAGTTTTCTCATTGGGTTTAAAGAGTTGTCTCCCTTGATTTATACAAAAAAATATTTTACTGTGAAGTCTTTCCTCTCAGTGTTAGTTAAATGTTGGAAGGTCTCCACGAATGCCCCCTAACAGTGTTTGTTATTGGAAAAAGACAGGATTTGGAACACGTTTTCAAAGCAACTTTTTTAAAGTCTCTTCTTCCCATAATCACTTATTCACAGGCTCAGCAGTGCATGCCTTCAGTGAAGGGCCAGACTCTCAGCAGTGCCAATTAGCACATGGCAGCACATGGGAGCAGCAGCAGGGCTGGCCAAGAGCCTCTCAGCCTGCAGGGAAGTGCCAGTCCAGCTGTGCACCGAGTCCCACCACCATGACTGACAAAAGCTGAAAGGCCCTTCCATGATGTCCACAGGAGCTGGGAACGTGACTCCAGACAGCTCCCACCAGCCACAAAACAATACCCTTGGAAAAACACAGTAATAAAACATGTCCAAGGTGTGCCAGTCACTGCCATTAATACTGGAGGCTCTCTCCAAGTCTGTGCTGATGAGGCTGGGTCCTGCCCATCCCCTCTCTCCAGTGCCAGTGCCACACGGGCAGAGCAGGAGCAGAGCACTGAGGCTGAAGCAGCTCTTTCTTGGATTGGGAGAAATTACTCTCAACTGGGTAATGCTGAGGGAAATGCGCATTATTTGCAATGGGCGTTCATTACACACTCACTAATGTTTAAAAAGGGTCAAATTGTTCAGATGGCCATGGCTTACATCACAGGATGGGTGCTTGAGCAAAGCAATTGCTCTTTCTTCCATTTAGTATTCACCAAAGAGGACAGAGTAGAGCTTAGAAGCACGGCAACTTTGCAAAGTTTGCTATTTGACTTGTGTACCTGATGTAAACTTAAGGGTCCTTAATTAAGCTCTATGTTATTTGGCCATTCCCACTATAAATTAAAGGCATTTTCAAAATTAATCTGATGACAATTAACTGCTATCACCTGATCAAACCCTCTTGCACAGTTTAGAGGCTCTGGGTTCCTAGAAACCTCTTTGCTAGAGAGCCTGAACACCAAAATGTGGCAAGAAATACATTTCTCTTGAGCTCATCCCCGTAACTTACCCTGGTTGTGTATGCTGCTTCAGGGTCATCTTCTAGGACTCTGGAGAGGCCAAAGTCTGACACTTTGCAGACCAAGTTGCTGTTGATCAGGATATTTCTGGCGGCCAGATCTCTGTGCACGTAACCCATGTCGGACAGGTACTTCATTCCTGACGCGATGCCTCGTAGCATCCCGACCAGCTGGATGACTGTGAACTGCCCATCATTCTTCTGCAAAAGGAAGGAGACATTTGATGAGTTGAGAGCCTCTGCACCCTCAGCATTGTATGTGCATGAATAAAAATGCAAAGGCAAGTCTCCAAGGAAGGAAACCAGGAAAATTAATAATTCATTACTCTCATGCTCTGACCACGAAGCTTTTCGAAGTTTCACTGTTTAGATTAGGATCTCTAGAGACAAAGCTAAGGAAATGTAGTTCTTTTAACTTGAGATCAAGGAGTGAGCTGCTTCTACTGGTGACTGATAAAGAGACTGTGACTGGGAGTGAACACATGTATAAGGGCACAGGCTGTGCTGTTTCTCAGTCAGGCAACTGAATGGCACCAAGTTGTATGGAAATCCTACCTTTAGGGGTTCATGAATACTTGAGGGGGTAGGGGCTCTTCCCCATATTGCCACATTGCATTTCTAACCACTTCCCCCACTCTCCCTTCCCTAGCTTTTACATTTCATGGAAATACTCTGACAAGTCTGGGGTTTGCTATGCTGCAGTATGGATCTGCTGTTGAACCACAGGATATTTTGCAGGATAACTTAATATCTTCCACTCGGTCAACTGCCTTCTAAAATAAACGTAATATCCTGCAATTTATTCTTAGCTGTTTCTATCATTGCATGCATCAGGTCCTTCATAATGCTGTGTAAATACAGATCAAAGTGACAACTGAGCTACTCCTGCCTCCAGACAGCACCAACATCCAGAAAACATGTTCACTGACATTAACCATCTACAAAGAACCCAAACCTTAACCAAGTCCCCAGGCCCCCTGGAAAAAGGATGTAAGTAATACCTTTAAAAATGTATCCAGAGAGCCATTCTCCATGTATTCAGTCACTATCATTACTGGTTTGCCTGGGGGGGAAAAAAAAAAAAAAGCAAGAGTTTGTTAGGAATTTATCTAAAAAACATAAGCAATAAAAAGTCTTTTAATAGTGTGTCTGCATCTGGATACACAGCCTTGCAACAGTAAATCTACACCAAGACACTGCTGTCCCAGCAGGATGATGAGAGTTGTTCCCAGAATATATATAGAAGTAGGGAAATTGAGGAGGAGGGGATGAAAAAGTAATACCATATTACGGGTGGGGTATGAAGCCGCAGAGTGTTTAAATGATAATTAAGGAGGACGTTGCAAGCTGAACCCAGGCAGCCTTGTTCTTGTCTCCACCAACAAGCTGAAAGCTTGCAGAGGCCAAACTGCAGACAGCAACCTCTTTGGACCCTTCCTGAGAGTTTCAACACCCTGAAGTAACAACGGGAGCCCAACAAGAGCAACAAGGATGATCAGAAGCTTGATCTTGGTGGCCACCAAAACCAAGACCAGGAAAGGATGGGATTGCATTCCTTGTAATTCAAGTAATTCCATGTGACTACCCTTGTAAACATATCTGGAAGTAAGAAAAGGAATATTTATGCTGCAGAACAAAAGCTTGTTAAGTGTGGAATGAGTGCAAGTGGATATCAAAGTAAAAGTTCTTAACAAAAGACCTGGTCTCCTATTGTTGACAGGAATAATAATGTTTTTCCAAATCTGTTTGATTAGTTTTCATGCCCGAGTCATTTTAATGGTAATTATATATACTTTTTGCTCAGTTTTTATATCTAATTTCTCGCTAGCTTGCCACAATGGCGTAGCAATAATTAATGTGGTGTGCTCTAGCCCTTGTAAATTCAATGAAATCTTATAAGAACATGTAAATTATTTTTTATTTAAATCAATTTCCATTAGCTAGCACAAAGCACAGACAAAAGAGGAGCTGTCAGTTATTTGTAAAGTGCATTATAAATGTCTTTTATACAGATGATCAACGAAAGCTGCCGTGTGTCATAACATGCACATGAAGGGAAATACTAAAAATCAGCGCATGTCTTACCATTTAGATAGATCTTAATTTTCCCGTTTTCGATTACCTTAACTATTTTGCCTAATTTACTGCTTAATTATGTACATAACAAAGGTAATTGTGAACTTGTCAATCAAAATACTCATTGCTGTGCAAACACTACCTTTGCAGCATGAAGGACCCGCGCTGCTTCAGTTCTTTCAAGTTACTCTCATAGCTGTTGCCCAAGCTTGAAACTTGCCCTAAACATTACTTTTGATATAAGAAATGCACCTTGGAACCATGAAAAAACATTGCTGAGTCCCAAATGAAATGATTGGCCCCATCTTTAAGGATGACAGCCATCTGTCTAGGCACAACATGGGCTGTACATAGGAGGGAGGGGAGATCTCAGGGGGCCATTGCTATTGGATGGCAAGCATGTCAGTGGCTTTGCAGGGAAGAAAACTTTGGGGATATCTCAAATGTTAAAGTTTAGTTTTCTTTTGTTTTTAAAAGCTAAACACCCAACTAGCATGGGGTAGCATGGGGTCCCTTATCTCTGACACTTCAAGGCAGCGTTGCAGTGAGAATGGTGTCTTGTTATGCCACCACCCTGGGGAGACCTCCTCCAGACTCCTGCCTTTGGATGCCATCAGAGGAAAAAAAAAAGGTAAGATTCCTGGCACTTATGTTTCATTATCTGACTGCTGCAGGTTGGCAGCAATCATGGAATAAATTAACCCCATGTCCAAGAGCATGGAAATAAGGACACAGATAACTTTCAACAAAGTAAATTAAAAGTAAACATCAGCCCTTCCAAACTGCTGGGCTGATTCTCTGTGTTACCAGGGCTTCCTCCTGCTGGCACTACATGGTTGTAAAATATATGTGGATGGCACTCATGTCAGTGGTGGGCACATTAATGCAATGTGCACACCATCAGTGCAACCAAATGGGATGCAAATGAGAACTGTCACTACCTTTGTAAAGCAGAAACAGCTGAAGGTTTGTCTGCAAGGGGACAATGATTAGTCCAAATTAACTGAGGTGTGCATTTGAACTATATTAGTTAAAAACAACGATGTTCTTGTTCAGATTTAAAAATGGCCTAATTCAATTTAACTTAATTTACTTCCAAAGTAAATCATGATGCAGCAAAGACATTCTACCCTAAAAATCAGATTCTGCAAAAGGCCAGTGACTGAGATACTGAAGAGTAGGAGTTAAATACTTTGAAAGAGCAGAATACTTTGTGATTCATAAAGGTTGTTTTGGTCCATGTAAAAGAAAAGGGAAAACCTATGAAGATGCTACAGATGTCTGCTGGAAAAAAAATTTTGAGTGCAGTAAACAAACACTTACTGAGCTAATGAGAAGCTCTGGGTGTGCACATCCCCCTGAACCCAAACTCCAGTTGCTCCAAGTCCAATTTAGAAGCAGAGCTCCCTGTGTTTCCACAGGCTTTGGAGCAGACAGCCACTTTATATAAAAGGCAGCTTGCTAGAGAGGCACATTCTCACTAAAAGTGGGATTTCCAACTATCCCCTGAGGCCCAGCAGCCAGAAAGACTCAGGCCCATGCCAGTAGCAGCTTTCATGGATGTATAATCATCACTTGCTCCCTGCCCAATATTCCACATCCCTGCAGGGCTAGAAATTGGAGCTCTTATGCATTAAGGGTTACACAAGGCGTCCCTGAGAGACTTTGATATTTATTACATTCTCGGGAGAAATCTATACATATATATATATATATTTATTTTCTTAAAAGTTATAGGAAATGCAATTTCAAGAAAAAATGCAAGAAAAGGTTGTTGATTACAAAACAGCATTGATTTTGTGGAAGTTGCAAGGACGAACAGCTAGAGCCTCTGTATGTTGTCTACTACAGCTCTGAAAAAGAACTAATGTGGAGACGCTTCCTCTGAGGAATGACAAATGGTACTGAGAGAAGTACATGACCCCAGATGCCACCATCTGAACAGGAGCAGCTAAGCAAGCTGCTCTGACGTTGCCAGACATGAAGACAGAAGAGGGAAGACAGCCATTCACACCTGTGAGGTTGGTGCTTCTTCACTTAAAACATATCTTAAAATAAAGCAGTTCTTTTCAACGTAATGATCCTTGATGCCAATAATGTAGATTCTCCAAGGCTCTAAAATGGACGAGTAACAACAGCTCTACACATTTTCCACTGCCTCAGCACAGCACCAACAGTCTTGTGCTGGGCATGCTTGGATGTGCTGTCCATTTCACTGCCAGTAATTTGGAGAACTAGGCTGGAAAAGTTACAGAGGGCTGTTTTTCCAACCGAGCAGTCAGACCTCAGTAACTCTCTGCTGGGATGCCCTCAATCCCTCCCACACGCCAGCACCATGGGCATCTCTAGCAGACCCCAGAGGGAGCCTGCTTTAATTGTGGTTTTATACATTTCTGTCATCTTCATCTACAGTCCTGTTTTAATTCCCTGCTTCTGGAAACCGAAACTTCTTTTTGAAGAAATTACAAAAAACGCATTCACAGCAGGCATCACCTAGTTCTTCCTCCCTTAACCAGCTCTCCCAACAGCCAGAGCTGACGGAGAGCAGTCCACAGCAAGCTGTACCTACTTTTTGTGACGACACCTTCCAGGTGGATGATGTTGGGGTGGTCAAACTGCCCCATGATGCTTGCTTCTCCCAAGAAATCTCTTCTCTGTTTCTCTGTGTAGCCCACCTTCAGGGTTTTGATGGCCACTGGAAACTCACGCTTTCCCTGCAGCTTCAGCCTCCCACTGCAGACTTCCCCAAATTCACCTTCAGAAGAAAAGAAGGAAGAATGGGATCACACCACACCAAGGGAGAACACGATGTGCCTCTGTCTACAGGATGCAGCACAGCCTTGGCTGATGGAAAGCACAAAGGGCTGCCCTGCATCCATGGATATGGACTGCTGAACATCGCAGTCATGACCATCTCAAACAGCCACTGCACCACAAAGCCAAGTAACTCATAAACACAAGAAAACTTCGAGTAAAAATGTAATTTTCCTGTATTTATAGAGCTGTGTCTTATATTCCACTGGGCTTTTTTCTTATTTCATATTTTTGTCTCCTATATGAAAAAGTCTTGTTATATCCTATACCAGTGTCCTGTGTGGACAGCTGTAACACTCAAACCACTTGCTTTTTAACCTTCCTTTGCTAAGTTACATAGATGGAAAGCTGTCAGCCTTTCACAGTAACAGGTATTTTTACAGACTATAAACTCTTTACAATTTTATTACTACCTTGTCCAAAAAGTAACCTAAATGGATTTTTTTTTCTGGTGAACACTAAATTATGTTCAAATCCACAATTTCAGAGGATAGAAAATACTCCTAAGGTTGGATGCAAGTCTAAACAAACAGCTTAACTGGAAACAAAATGGGAGTTTCTTCTTTTAACCAAGGAAGTTTAAAGCTCTGGACTTTTGCTTATGCTTTTTTAATGTCCCAGGTGACCTCTTATTTTTAATTTTTGCTTCAAGACTCAATGTTGGGGGATAAAAAGGTTCAAATGGTAAAAAGAATGTGAAACTTAAGTGACTCCTTTCCCTTAGCATCCATTGAAATAGCTCAGCTGACCATCTGTGACCATTTTCTGACATTTTCAGTTCAGCTCCTGAATTTCAAAGCTGCAGACAATGACATGTCTGTCCCAAACTTCAGCTGGAACATGCTCACCTTCCCTTGCAGGGTACCTAACAGTTCAAGTATTTCATGGCCCTTCCCAGATCTCTCATGTTAAGGAAATCACATTGCTAAAGGTCACGGAATGCATTTCCATACCAGCTCCGATAACTCTTTCAATGGTTATGCATGAAGCTTCAATTTCCTTAGCAAACTCGTGGACAGCTTGATTAGGGTCCTCATAGGTATGGGGGTCGACATAGGTCCTCACTCCAGGCAGCTTAACTGCAAACACAAATTAAACACATTTAATGGCACATGACGTCACAGAAAATGGCCATTACACACTCCTGTCCCTTGCACTCTGCTCCGCTGGAAACTTATTTCTATGGTGAAAATGAGCATCAATCTTGAAAAATGACACTTAGTTTATATGTGACATATGTGCAACTTCAGCATATTCAGAAAAGCACGGCAGTGCTCAGCTGGAATGATGTGCAGCTAAAAATCCCTTTTGGTACTGTGTAATGGGTTGATCCGGTGTCTGGCAGAAAAGAATCCCTTTTTGGAACTAGAGACGAACACCAGGAGGAAAAGTACAACTATCAAAATGTTACAGGAGTAACTTGCAAAGCCAGCTGGATGGATGGGAGTTGATGGAGAGCTGAAATAAATGATGCCCTACCAGTCACACATCAGCTAATCAATCGCCCACATTATTTCAGACAGAGTTACTGAGATTTAAAAGAACTGCATATTTGCAGTACAAAGCCCGTGGGTTGTATCAGTATAAATATAATCAATAGCAGGCTTTTTCTCCAGGAGTTGAGAGGGGAAAAAGTATTTTCATTATCCATATTATAAGTTTGTTTTCACAATCATTAAGGCTACTCACATGAAGAATTGCTCATCAGTCTAATGAGACAGCTACATTACACTGTGGCTCTTAATTGATTTGCTTCCTGCTGCCTTCATTACATAGCACTAATGGAAATTTGACTTTCACTCATATGTTTGCCTTTTCCACCCCAAAAGGCACCTCACTGTTACCCATCCCCAGATCCCACAGCTCTTGATGAAGGAAGGATGGATAGCAACCACAAAATTTACTTTCTAGCATCACTGCAGAGGGGTTTTCTATACAAGGGCATTAACACAGCATTTCTGAAAGTTTCCTAGGTGCAGAGGTGTTATTCCTCACACCTCTGCAGAGGCATCTAAACTGAAGAGTAGCAGTGGGCTTGGTCCTCAGAGCTAGCTGGGGTGAAGCAAAGGCTTCTAACAGGTATTTTGGACTGATGCATCCAGACCACAAAAATGTTGAGCTTGTATGTGCTGAGCAGAAAAAATTAATAACATCTTGACTCACACAGCAAAGACAGAGGAACAAACCAAAATGGGTTACTAGAAAGATCTGATGCAAACATACATATGTGAATAGCTCAGTACAGAAAAGCACTGTTCAAATCTTCAGTTCTCTTGCAGCAGGGGAAGGTGGGGATCTACTGCACAAACAATTCTTTTGTGAATTACCAGCAAAACCAGATTTTTTTTTTCCCCCAGAAAATCACCTCTCAGTTGAATTTCTCACTACCACAGAAAGTCAAAACCACATATATATGTTTGCTCTTTACTCACTGTGGCCATTATGAAAATGCATCTTTTCTTCTTCTGGATCTTGCTTAGCCTTGCTATAGCCACATCGCCTGGGAAGGAAAACAAAAAACACAACAGAAGAGTATTTTTGTCTCTGGTATGGCAGAACTCCATTCTTTACTTTGAATCACACAATGCACAAAAACCCAGAGCAGTGATGAACCCAACCTCTCTAGCGGCTCTACTGCTGCTGTCCCAGTTTTAGCTCATCAGACTAGCTGCAATTTCCCTAACGGGATTCAGGGCTCAAGGCCCACGGATTTTCAATTGGACTTGTGTTTCCAAATCCCACAGATGCTTCTGAACAACTCCACTCTACCTGACATTTAATGCAGCTATTATTAAGAAGAAAAGAAAGCAGGAGCAGGGAGGACAATGAAAGGGGAATGGGATGAAACATTGGAATTGCAGAAACAAAATCTCCTGGACTGCAGAACCTTTGCAGGCGCTGTGTTGTATATCTTGCATGCTCCCCTTCATCCACTGTGCATTTGCACAGAACTTTAAATTATGGTATTTGAGAAAATGGCCTTGTGTAAACATTAGCATCTTATACACATGCAAAATAATGGCTTAAAAACAAACCAAACCTGTTGCCTCACTTCCTTCAGGTGTCTCCTACATATTGTTGGCTCTGCACAGCATTTCATGCACATCTCCTGTCTTTCCACAGGGGAGCTGCCATTCAGGAATCCCCTCTGCCCAGCCGAAAAATGATGGAAGAAAGCAAGCTGCCTGACCTATCATGCTCCCACCTTAGTGCCAGACAGTGCAAGGACAGTGCTGTATACTACCATGGAGCTGCAACAGTCATATGGAAGTTGCATCTCTCCAGGGCATCCCCTATTAGTTTTCAGTTGCTCTTCCCTGATTCTTCATTCCTCTCATTGGTTTTCTCAGTGATAGTTTTGCATTGGATCTGAGATCTCCTTCACTTGGACAACCACATGGAAGCCCCAGGGTAACTGCATAGGCAAGAAAAATTGCTACACACGCAAACACACACACTTAAAAATACGGGATGAGGTATGTAGGATGCACATACATATGCCTGTCTTTCCAGGGACCTGATAACGTAACTGGATTCTGGAACTGGATCATCCTTACAGCGAACTGCATGAACATGAGACTGAAGGACACTGGGACACTGCCTGGTAGAATGAAAAACCTGGAACAGACACCTGCAAGCCAGCCAGCATGCAGTGGAATCACTAGCTGGCACACCTCAAAGAAAGCCTGAGGCCACCAAGAAGCCACTTAAAGCAGAGCAACCTCTCCTCCATTGCTTCCATGATTTTTGAGCCTGGGGCATGTGAGCACTCCAGCATCACTCACAGCAAGGAGGAGCATATGATTAGCAGGAACAAAACTGCAATTAGGAGGAGGTAGTAACAGGCATCTGCATGAAACATGCCCTCAGCATGAAGTCCTATTACAGGGAACTGCTGTCTGCCTGGATGCAAGGGGCCAAGCAGCCTTTTGGCTACAGGATTCTGGCACTGGGATTGTGAAATGATCACAATTACAGACAAAAGCCCGGACACAATGAGACCACACCACTGAGCTGGACTCAGCAGGGCTGGATGCTGGACAGTTGAGGAGGGGAAAGGCAACATGAGCTTCTGGGGCTCTTCTGGGGAAGAGGAAGCTTACTTCAGGGACAAAGGGAGACCTGTGCCACATGGAGGGGAAGGAAAAAGAGACTACAAAGGTTGTGCAAGCGCAGGGGAACGGATCAAGAAGACAAGGGAAGGCTGGCAGGCAGTCTGGGGATGCAGGCAGGGTGATAAACAGGTTGCACTTGATAAACAGCCAGGCTACACATGCAGGGCATGACTTCAGCAGCAGCAACCCAGCTGAGGCTGTAACGCTTTGAATACAACCCCCACAAGAACAGCACTGAGGTGCCCAGAGATGCAGCTCAGTTATCTATCTGCCTGTTGGTGCTCGTTGCCTTGCTCTAAAAGCAGCAGTGCCATTTCCTGAGATGGAGTCCTGCATAATTAACTCAAAACCTAAGCACTAGGAGTACAAGGAGATCCTGGGACCAAGGGTCATTCCAAAGCACATTCTGGTGTTCACAAACCCTTGGTGAGAATGGAGTCTTCTTCTTCATCATATGACCTCCCCTTTAACTAAACAGAGAGATGAGTTTCAGTATCAGGTCTCACTTCTGGCAACCCCAAATTTTTCTGCTGCAAGTTGCCAAAGTTACATCAGTTTTCTGCAGGCATGTGACTCATTTTGCCTTTTAAAAATACACAAATATGTCAATTCATCCTTCTACCAAATGCACGCATCCAATACTTCTGTTTTGCCTTTAGTAGCAAATGCCCTTATTTCCTCTTCAGGTTTGGAGCATTTTGCCTGTAAAAATGCTTTTCTAACATCATCCTTTCTATGACCTGCATCTCCCAGTTCCTTGACCATAAATACGGAGGAGACAGAAAGACGCCATCCCCCACATACATCCCCTGCATCCCAAGCACACCTTGATGCACAACAGTCCATGTTTTACTGCCCAGGGACACACTCCAAGGGCCACTGCAAACCAGTTGGCTGCAGCTGCCCCCTTCTCTCGAGCTGGGTAACACATACAGCAGCACATCACATTAGCATACGAAATCAGGCTCTGGGACGCCTGCAGCATGGTTAAAACAAGCCTTGACAAGACACGTCAAAGTGAAATGGCAGCTAGTGGACTGTGACTGTCAAGCAACAGCTAGGTGTCACTAATAAAGCTTGCTGCAAAACCTGCCATCACTTGTGCCCTTCGCACACATTCTCAAACTACCCATAGTCCATGCTGACTGCGGCCAAACCGCGCTTCTTCCATTCTTGACCTTCAGATGCTTTAAATAACACATACAAACATTTTTTTTCTCCTTTCTTCCCCAGCTAAATCTCATAAAAATCTGCAATTTTGGGTTAACAATCCGGAGTCACTCTGTGAATCTTACTGGTAGATCAAAGTATCTGAATATTGCGGCTTTGCAATATATTTTGGGAGGAAAAAAAAGCTCTCAATTGTTTGTGAAATAATCCATTTCTGCATGTGCATTTGCTCTTAATATTTATTGGCTAAGCTGTGAGTCAAAAGCTCTGATGGAAGACTCATTCTCTAGTTTATTATCACTGTACAAACCATAGATTTCCTATATCTTTTCTGTATCACGCACAGCAAAAGCATAAAGATCCTGACACTCGCTTCATCTCCCACTGAGCGGGAGACACTCAGCCAAAGCGTTAATGTAATTCAGCAGCACACCTGAATCTCAATTCATTTACTCCTGTTGTGGGTTTGTCCCAGTTTCTCTATGTGGAAAGCAGAAGTCTTCCTTGCACAGCTCTGTGTTTTTCAATAAAAGTATCAGAGGTAAAAAGAAAAGTGAGACTTTAAATATTCTTAAGGTATCATGTCTTATTTAAAAACTACTTGCAGATTGGCAGGCAGCTCGTAAAATATTTATGGAGCAGATTATAAAAGTGAAGTTGTAAAATGATCCTTATATAGGTTTATAAAATATAAAACGGACAGGTAGAAAGATGAAGAATCCAGCTGGGAGCCCAATGCCCACTACCTTGCATGACAGAAGCCAATTCACAGAGAAAAATCCTTCATGAAGTGAGGCAGAAAGATGCTTGCTCTCCCTGGACTGATGGAGATTCGTTTGTTTCTGCCCCGTGCTTCTGGACACCCTTGCTGGGTTGTGTCTTGTGGCATTCCCCTGAAAACCACAGAATGCCCAAGGGAAAGAGTTTTCATCTCCCTAGCTAGGGCCACCATTCTGGTCACAACCCAGGCAAGACACAGCCAGGGGACTGTGAACCCGGACCTTGGGTGTCAAGCCCTAGGTGGTGATGTGGAAAAACCTTTACATACTTTTTTTACAGGCATGGGCCAAAGCATTTCAGCACATGGCCAAGGCATTTCTGGAAACGCAGGTGGGGACAGCATCGAGACATCCCTGATGAGGAAAGGGACTTCCCCTTGCCAGGTGCAGTCAGTACCATCGAACAGATTGTGCCCTGAAGCAGTATGCAATCTCCCATCCCAATCTTGCAGAGACTTACACATGTATTTAATCTCTTAAATATGAGATAAATGAAGCATATGCACTACTCTGAAACAGAGACAAAACAATTTTCTTTTTCAAGGGCAAGGCCTTCACTCAGAAGCATGTCTTTTACAATAAATCAACTTAGAGGAATGCTTCCAACCCATCTCAAGCTGTCACTTTACAGGAGGTTTGCAAGGGCTGCAAGGTTGTTGTTTACAAGGGTTTAGTGCTTATTTCAGACTATTTGTTCCAAGATGTTAAAGCAATAAAGCTGCATACGTGTTGCAGGGCAGGATCGTGTTCTATGCAGAGGAACAAACAAACATGGATCTCTCCATCTGGCCAAGATCCTGTCGCCTCAGCTCATGTGTGGAGACAATAACTTGTTCAGTGAATAGCTTTATCCTTGATAAACAACTCTGATACTGAGAGCCAGAGGCAAAAGACTACTACTAGTGATGTTAGTCTGTGTTCAGCATTTGCCTTTGCTGCTTGCAATCCTAGGATAAATTCAGTATCAAAATACCAGGGAACACTCAAGGGACTGGTGTAAACTGAACAGCTTCTATACTGGAAGTTGCTTTCCGTTTTTCTGTTCACTTTCCTCTTGCACAAGGTCAAATGAGCAGTAAAAAGTCCAGCGATGAAAAGCAAAGACCTTTAGCTCAGTTCAGGAGATACAGGAGATGGCTGGCCTGAGAGAAACAGGGCAGATTCCCTTCCAAAGGGCTGCAGGCTCACAATCTTCTCAGCTGCTTTTCCAGCACTGCTGTGCCCCTCTACACTGTGTGACCCTGTCTTTGACCTCCGATTAACTTGGATGCCTTTACAAAGGAAGCTTCGCAAATCCAGCAATGGTATTTTTAGCCTTTAGTCTTTCCTTGCCTTTGCGCTGAATGACTCCCCGCTTCCCTAAAGCACTGCCAGAACAATTAAAAATAATTTAAACAAGATACTGTTTTCCCCTCTTGCAGGAAGCTCCCTCTGAA